GTATATTTTGCTTTTGTCCACAAGCTATGCCCATTTTTAGATTTTTTCTTCATTCAATACAAGCTGTTAAGTCACTATAGAAATATTAGGATAACTTTAAATAAACTAAAAATTAGATGACAAAAATAGTACCAAAGCCATTTACTTTTCTCCTCCTCCTTTTTTCTTCAAATGCATAAATTTAAAGAATCTCAAAATCTCTTTCATATTACTGTTTTTGGTAATGTTTGTGTTACCTTACCAGCAGGACCCCAACCTTGCTTTCAGAGAACTCATTGAACAATAGGTGGTTGGATATCATTTCATGGGCATCTAGGTGATGCAGTGGACAAAGTGCTGGGCCTGGAGGCAGGAAGACTCATCTTGGTAAGTTCAAATGTGACCTCAGACACTTACCAGCTGTGTGACCCTGGGCAAGTCACTTAACAATTTGCCTTAGTTTCCTCATCTGTAAAAGGAGCTAGAGAAGGAAATGGCAAATCACTCCAGTATCTTTGCCAAGAAAACCCCAAATCAGGTCATGAGAGGTAAGCATGACTGAATACCATCATCATCATATCATTTCATAATCATACTAGGGAAAATTAAATGAGATAAAATTGATTGAACAAATTGGATGATGAATCTCAATTCTGTGCCATTCAATTGATTGAACAAATTGGATGATTTACTCAATTCTGTGCCATTCAATGCCATTCTACCATAACTTGGAAAAAAGCTAAGACCATAAAATTTCTCTACATTTTCATTTTTGTATGACACACAGTTTAAAAATCAAAATGCTTTCAGAGAATAACTTCTCCTCAACTTCCTGTAATAAATGCAGAGATACAATATTTCAATGGATATGTGATTTCATCATGTAGGCATTTTCTCTATCAGCATAAACTGCAACCCATCTAGTGTCTATCAGCAACTATAAAGCCCCCGGATCAACTCTAAGACCATAAAAGTTCTTTTAAGATAGAAGGATCACAAATTTACAACTAGAAGGAATGTTAGAAGTTATCTGATCCAGGGCTGTCAAATTTAGGCCCAAACCAGACTAAAATGTATTTGGGAAATGTTTAACAAAATAAATAAAAATACAACACAGATAATGTTAATTTGTGGTTTTCTAAGTCAATATGTAACCTGTAGGGATCTAAGATCCATTTCTATTTGAATTTGACATCACTGATCTAATCCAACCTCCTAATTTCACACTTGAGGAAACTGTGGCCCAAAAGATGATTTGTCCAAGGACACACAGTAAGTAGCAGAGGCAGGATTCAAAAGCAACCCAGTTCTTCGGACAGCAGATCCAATCTTTTTTCCTCTACAACATGGAATCTTTCATCCTGTGAGGCTCATCCATGTTTTTTGTTGTCTTTGTTAATTCTCTTCCTTTCTGGTCTATTCTGAAATCCCTTTCTCTGATTTGTGAGGTATACCCTTATTTATTCCTTCTTTAATGACTCCGTGTACCTGAAATACAATTTTCTCTGATAAGGGTTTGGAATCTAAGATGTATAAATAATAAATAAAGGGTATGAGCTTTAATATTAAGGTCACATATCCATTTAAACATATTGTAGAATTTAGTTTAGGGTATTGATCTAAGCCTAATTTCTGCCAGATTGCTTTCCAGGGTTTTTGTTGTGTTTAATGGCGTTAGGAGAAGACAAAAATAGGAGGAAGGAGGTCTGTACTAGAGAGGAAAGGAGAAGGAAGCAGGAAATTGCTATTATATAATAGAGATACATAAGATGAAGACTATATATGTATGTATATATATATATATATATATATAAAACTATTGAGGAAGGAGTGGTAGGAAGGGTCATCCCATGAACCTCATGTTCATCTGACTTAAAAGAAGATTGAATACACTTACTCCATCACACACGGTGATTTTGGTATAGAAATACATTAAATTCCAAAGGGAAATAGTAGGGAACAGGGACAAGGGACAGATAGAAAGGGAAGTAACAGAAAGGCAAAGGATAGTTATAAGGGAAGTAAGAGAATAATCATAAGCAAAACATATTGGAGGAAGGAACATGAAGGCAAGATTAAAAGGAAAGGAAGAAAAGAGTAAAAATATGGGATTGGGATGGGGTAAGGAGAACAGAAAAGCTGTAAGAGAGGAAACAACCTGTTTTACAAGATCATGAGTCAAGCATATTTCCTCTCTTCTACCACTATCTTATTTATAAAGAGGGAGGTGGGAATAAAGAGAGGACAAAGTATAAGAGGACAGGATGGCACGACACAGCTAATAAATTTAAATTAAATAATTAATTTATACACAATTAACAATCATAACTGTGATTGTGAATGGGATGAACTCACCCATAAAATGAAAGAAGACAACAGAATGGATTTAGAAAGCAGTATTTAAAGCATTAATTGTTCATATGTAAGTTGAACTAACATAATAAAATGGCAATGATACCTAAATTAATTTACTTATTTAGTACTACACCAATCAAATTCCTAAAAGAATATTTCCTAGAGCTAGAAAAAATAATAAGAAAATTCACATGGAAGAAAAGAAGGTTAATAACTTCAAATGCAATAATAAAAAAAAAGTAGGAAGGAAGTGGGTATGTGACCACCAGATCTCAAACTTTATTACACAATGGCAATCATTAAAATGATTTGATACTGGTTAATAAAAAGAGAAGTTGATCAGTGAAACTGATTAGGTACTACAATTTTCTCTAATAAAGGCCTCATGTCCAAGATATATAAAGAACTGACTCAAATTGATATGATGAAGAGCTATCCCTCCATGGATATCATATCAAAGGATATGATAAATGAATTTTCAAAGGAAGAAATCCAAACTATCAATAACCATATGAAAAATCACCAATCACCAATAGTTAGAGAAATACAAATAGAATGACTTTGAGGTCCAAACTCGTGCTTCTCAAATTGACAAACATAACACAAGAAGAAAATTACAAATGTTGGAAGGGCTGTGGGAAAATGGGTGCATCATTGCACTGTTGGTAGAACGGTGAATTGGTTCAGACATTCTAGAAAGCAATTTGGAACTATTCTCAGGAAGGTTCTAAATGCCCTTTGTCCCAACTATACAACTAAGCTTATACCCCAAAGAACACACAGAGAGAAAGGATCCAGATGTATAAAAATATTTATGGCAGCTTATTTCATGGTAGCCAAAGATTCGAAACCAATAGGCTGTCCTCTTATTGGAAAATGACTAGACAAACAGTGCTACATGAATGTAATGAATTGTAATCGCGACCTAAGAAAAGATGAAATGGGCAATCTCAGAGAAAACTAGAGTGATTTTTATGAACTGATGCAGAGCACAGTGAGTAGAGCTAAGAGCACAATTTATATAATGATAACAATATTATAGGGAAAAACAAGTTTGACACATTTTCGAACTCTGTTCAATTCAATGATGAACCATAGGTCCGAAAAAATGAAGCTGAAACAGTACACTTAACTTCTGACAGAAGTTAAAAAGTGAAGAAATTAAAATGCAGAAAAGAACAAGCATTTTCAGACATAGCTAATACAAGAATTTGCTTTACAAGACTATGTAAATATTTATTGAGGGATTTGTTTTTAGTTTGTTCTTAAATTTGTTTAATGGGGAGGGTGATGAGAGGAACAGATGAAAAATATTTGGTACTTAAAAGAACAAAATAATGATTTACTGATTTACTCTGATACTAAAAATTAATTAAAATTACGATGTTATGTGTGATTTATATGTCAATGAGCCCCCTCTCCCCTGACAGATGGAGTGAATTTAATCTTGGGAGTTCTGTCTAATAATTATATCTATGGTACATTGCCCTCAGATATGTGAAGTTCAGAATATGGCTTGTGTCTCTTAAGTGTCCTCAGTAAGCATAATGAGTCCAATGCAATAAACATATGAAAGATTATTAATGACACATAAAGATTGTTGGCTAGTATCAAAGCCCCTGAAACAAAGCATGTATATATAAATATATATATTTATATATAATATAAACATATGTATATATATTTATATATAATATATATAATATATATATAATATCAAGTTATAATCCTCTATCTGGTTTGGAGCTCAGTTTCCTTTTTCACCAAGAGGTTTAATCTTAGTCACTGTGAACTCAGCACCAATAGGTGAAGTTCCAGTAGTGTGAATGGAGTCAAGGATCTGGATGGAATATAGCTTCTATCTCTTTCTACCCACCTATTTCCTTATGGCTCCTGCTGATTTCCTTGCTCCAGACTCACTCCCAGGTAATAGCTCTTGGCTGACATCTCTTAGCATATATCACAATTTTCAGTGCATTCAGCTTGAAATTCTAGATTATTGCAGCTCTTGAAGGTCCTAGTTTGGCTCTGAAACGTCATGGTTTCACTTGGTTACTGGTTCTAGGTTCCTCTCTCTTTACTGTGGCCCTATGGCCACAATTCATGGCTTTACATGTATATGTAAAGGCCTTTTTCCAGTCACTATAAGCAGGACTCCTTTGAAGGCTGCAGACTTCTTTTGCTACATATGGAAAACATTTAAAAAAAAATTTTAAAGTGCTTTCACTGGTGTTTGCCCTCCCTCTTCCTGGAACAGTGGGTGAAGTATTGGGTTTAATCAGGAAGGGCTGAGTTCAACTTCTACCTCAAACAATTACTGGTTGTGTAATCTAGGACAAATCACTTAACTTCTCTTAGTGTTGGGTTTCCTCATCTGTAAAATTGGGATAATAATAGCATCTACCTCACAAAGTTGTTGTGAGGATCAAATGAGATAACATATTTACGGCACTTTGCAAAACTTAAATTGCTATATAAATGCTAACTATTATTGTTATTTAATAAATTTTTAAAAAGGAGATTAAAGTTTCTTAATACAAATTAACACTTACTTGGTCTGTGGAGCAACCTAATTATGTTATGGATTCCAGCAAATACTAAATACTTGTGGGGCAATATCTATGCGGTTGTGTTTCATAAATATGTGATCATTCTTCTATTTTTAGATTACTTGAAAGAAGACCTACGTAAACATATGAAAGAAAAATTTCCTGAGAAGGTTAAATTAATAAGAAATGACAAACGAGAGGGACTGATTCGAGGAAGAATGATAGGAGTAATTAATGCTACAGGTATGACATACTGTGTATATTTTTTCCTTGGGTAAACGGCCATGTATATCTCAGACACAGTGTGTGGGTGTATTTAAAGTCCACTGGTGCCTCCTTTGTCTTCGTTTAAAGAGACAGGCATCGGGAGATGCACCCAACCTTTGAATAGCTCTGAATTGATTCTGGCCCACCCCGTAGATGTTTGGGAGTTTAATCAGGATTTGTTGGACGGCCAAACTCAGTCTTCCCACATGCTATTATTTGCCTTTAAAATAACATCAACCTGGAATGAGCAGTAGTTAATACTAAAATGTAACTGAACACTGTTGCTTTGATTTTGTTGATTTGGAGTGTTAAAATATGTGTGCTTCCATTGCTCAGACATGGCCAACACATTCTATGACCTTGCATTTAGGGCCAGCTTTCCCCAAGTTAGAGATAATCTGCTTTCCATTTGGAGGCATGATTCCTCTCATATGCCAATCTGAGTAAAAGATAATTATAAGATTTTCTAGCACAACTGACTCATCCTTGTGCCCTGGGATGCAGAGACCCCAAACTTGCTTCAAAAGACAGTTAACTTAGTCTGTTTCTAATTGTAAAAGGCTTTGAAAAATAGGACTGGTTTTTGTCATAGGCAAGAGTACTGCCAGCTGTACCAAATACAAATTGCTTGTGACAGATTCTGTTCCATTGGGTTGTGAGGAGGTGCATTAGAGAAGAGGGAATAAGTCTGAAAACAAATTATCACGAAGTGAAATTTTGTTTTTACTTCACTTTCTTTGACTCGTTTACCTGAATCTGAACTGAAATGCTCTTCGTGGCTTTTTGCCTGAACAGCAAGAATCAAGAACTGAAAAGTTACTGGTTTTTAATGGCTTAGATTCAGTTTAGTTTTTCAAATTAAATATTTTCTAGGCATCTGCTGTGTGCCATTCTTAGCCTTCAATTGTCCTCTACATCCAGACTCTTAATTTCCTAAGATGCACTGGAAAATTATCACCCTGTGTCTTAAAAACCACCTTTGTGCTTACCATTACTTCTCTGCATTTCTTTGCTTTTCCTTCACCAAATCTTGTTTCTGAATTCTGATATTCCCTAAGGATATTCTGAATTGAATATTGAAAAATTTCCTTGTTGGGGGTTAACAGAAAGGCCTGGGACTTTAACTATTTCTTCAATAATCCTTTTGTAACATTGAATTGATTTTCAGAAGTACATCCTACAATTAAAATTCTATCAATCTTTTCCCCTCTTAGTCTAACCAAGACAGGATGAGGTTAAAGTGAGGAAAAAGAAAAATACCCCATTAATTTGTGGCAGTTAAAACAACATGTGGTTAGACTTTAATCACGTTGGCCAAAAATCATTGGTTTGGTTTTTGGTATTGTTTGTTTATTCCATCTCCTAGTAAAAAGTTAATACTGAATAAGTTCCAACTCTATTAAATTCAATAAACATTTATTGAGGAGTTATGTACTGCATATTTGTGCGATAAATGTATAGATAGAAAGATGAATTAAGCCCAATCCCTTTTCTCAAAGTGTTTACAGTCTAGTAGAGGAGATGACAAGGATCTGCGTATCTATAGTACAAATTAGGACCTAGTTCCAAAAACAAGATACTCCATCTCTTGGCTCCAGACATTTTCTCTGGCTGTCCCTTGTGCTTGGAATGCTTTCTTTCCTCATCTCTGCCTCTTGGCTTCCTTAGCTTCCTTCAAGTCCCAACTAAAATCTCATCTACTACAGGAAACCTTTCCTGATTCTTCTTAATTTTAGTGCTTCCTTCTGTTAATTATTTCCTATTTATCCTGTATATAGCTTATTTGAACATATTAGTTTGTCGTTTCCCATATTAGACTATGAGCTCCTTGAGGTCAGGGCTTTTTTTTTTATCTCTAGCACTTGGCATAGTGCCTGGCACGTAGTAGTACATAGTAGGTGCATAGTAAGCACATAGCAGATGCTTAATAAATGTTTGTTGACTGACTGCCTGGCAAGTATCTAAGGGAGTTCCAGAAAAAGTGTTATGAGAGCTTTGAGGGGCTTCATTATAGAAACAGCACCTGAGTGAGTCTGGATAGATAGAAAAGATTTCAACAGGTGGCAATGTGAGCAAGAGTGGAACTGAAGAAATTTCAGGAGTGAGGGATAGTATGCTTCTCTTAGATTAAGAGAAAAGATTTCCCCACCTTTAGAAATGTAACTAAGAAGGTTAGAGTGCCCTAACAGGCTAGACATGCTGGTCACAATGGTTATTCCAGCTCAGGATTTAGAAGAAGCCAGAGTAGAGAAAGAGGTAAAAACTTATGAAGGTAATTGGAGGGAAGTAGGGTATTTACATATGCTAATTCCTTCTTCCCTGAGGCAAACACTATTTCCATGGCTTCTCAAACCATAACATAGTGCTACAAAATGAGTGACACTTACTCTTTAAAGAAAAGCTATGGCAAATCTGGACAGCATACTAAAAGGCATCACCTTGCCAACAAATGTCCATATAGTCAAAGCTATGGTTTTTCCAGTAGCAGTGTATGACTGTGAGAGTTGGACTATAAGGAAAGCTGAGTGCCAGCCAAATCGATGCTTTCAAACTGTGCTGGAGATTTTTGAGAGTCCCTTGGAGAGCAAGAAGATCAAATCAATCAATACTTACTAAAGCTGAAGCTTAAATATTTTGGCCACATAATGCGAAGATGGGACTCATTGGAAAAGACCCTGGTGGTGGGAAGGATTGAAGGCAAAAAGAGAAGGGGATGGCAGAGGATGAGATGGATAGATAAAATCATGGAAACAATGAACATGAACTTGGACAGACTTTGAGAGATGGGGGAAGATAGAAGGACCTGGTGTGCTGTGGTTCGTGGGAGCACAAAGAGTTGGACATGACTGAACAATAACAATATAATTTAGGGTCTTTGGAAGATAGATATTTTTTTCAATTACTAGTCCAAAGACATGTGGTCAAGAGGCTTTTGGATAGTTCACAAATCTTTGCTTCTTTTGTTTCTTGAACTTGAGCCATATTTAACAACTTATTTTCACCATTCTTCCCCTGCCTACCTTTACATTAAAGTCACCAAGCTTTATAACTTAGGTTAGATTAAGTCAGAAGGCCTTGAGTTATTCATAGCATTTCTCTACCTTGTTATCCTTTGCAATAGATATTGGTATATAAATTACAGTGATCCTCATGGTGATCTTTGGGCTTAATATTCATCATGAGCATTACAAGGCAAGATGGCTAAGTGTCCTATGAAACAATTTTTGTTGTTACCCTTGTATGCCCAGGGGAACCAACTCCATGGACCTTTTTAGTTGCTTCTCCATGGAAAACTTACATAGATTTCCATTTAGCTGCACCTTCCTCATATTGTTCCTCTCCCCCGTTCCCACAAATGAGTGATAGAACAGAGAGACAAATACTTACCAAATATGTTTGCCATGGTTGTGGAGAATACCTTGCACAGAGTGGATTCCCTTTAGCTGGGGGGATCCTTCAGATATTTTTATTTGTGGATTACATTGTTCTGATTGCTCAAACCCCAGAACACTATAGTTTCTTTAATAAGATTTATACCACTTCAAAGAATTATCCCTAACACAGGCTAAACCAAGTGGAATTCGGACGTGCAGTTGGATATACAGCCCCACTGAGCTGCCCCACAAATACACATAGCTTGGAAAAACACTTCAGATGAACAGTGAACCTCTCTAAAATTAAATAGGTATAAGATAAAAAGGTGCAGCTAGGTGGTGCAGTGGATAGAGCACCGGCCCTGAAGTCAGGAGGACCTGAGTTCAAATCAGGCCTCAGATCAAACACTTGACACTTACTGGTTGTGTGACCCTGGGCAAGTCACTTAACCCCAATTGCCTTAAAAAAAAAGATAAAAGGTGATTTTCCTCACATCTAGAAGCATTGTTAGGCAAATCAGAATAGTGCTTCCTATGAATATTGACTCTGTGTCAGACTCCTTTTAGTTGACTACAGTGGTGGAAGAGGGTAGGTATATCATTTATGGCCTGCACAATGCATAATTGATGAAATGGTCTACATAATGTATATGTTTTACATGATGCAACAGTGAAGGAAACACCTCAACTAAATTAATGACAAATATTTGAGTGTTTACCCTATGCAATCCACTATGCTCAGCATTAGGGAGACTAAAGAAGAAATGTGAGACATAGTCCCTGGCCTCAGAGAATTACTGCAGAGGTAGTGACTGGTGCATCCCATCATTGCTATTGATACCTCTCTGGATCCCCCTCCATACTGATCTTGTCTCTGGAGGAAGTGGGTTGTCTTGGGAGGTTGTGGGAAGCCTTTAAATGGAGTCTGGATGACAACTTATCAGGAGTGTTGAGGACAGAATTCTTGTTCAGGTATGGGTTGGATGAAGCAGACCTATGAGGTCCCCTCTAAATCTGAGATGGGCTTCTCTTAAATGATGGGATAGCTTACTGCTTAGCAACTTTGAGGAATTTCTGAAATGATGCTGAGATATATTGGATCCACAGCTTTGTGCGGAGTCAGACAATCAGAGAAGTTGCCAGCTCCAACATTGGTGCTGGAATCAGTGGTAGAGTATATGAATATTTTCCAGGTTCTGCCTAGAGTTTCCTATGGAATCAGCAGACTTTAATTGAATAATTTGTCAAAGGGTGCTTATATCCAGACTGAGATGGCAAAGGCCTAACTGGGCCTCAATTCCTCATGCTCCTCAACTCCCATAAAATGAAAGAGTTAAATAGGGAAGGGAATAAGGATTTATATAGTATCTACATCAAATGAGATAATAATTGCAAAGTGTTAGTGCCTGGTACATAATAAGCACCATAAAAATGTTAGCTATTATTATAAGTAAGAGCTTTACAAATATTACCTCATCTGATCCTCACAACAACCCTTTGGGGTAGGTGCTATTATCATCCCCACTTTACATTTGAGGAAACTGAGGCAGATAGAGGTTAAAAGATTTGCCCAAAGTCACAAAACTAGTATGAGGTCAATTTGAACTCAAGTCTTCCTGACTTTAGGCCCAACACTCTACCTACTCTACCACCATCTGAGATAATTCCTAAGGCCCCTTCTTTACTCTAAATCTATGATCCTATGAAATACAGTCCCAAATCAGGACTCACTTTAATTGACTGGCCTGCTCCATGATCATGGAAATCTTGCCTTTTGACTTATACAAGTTTGTGGAACTGGGAGAAAAGGTTAGTCTTACTCAAACCAGCTAAACTGGACCCACTATTTCCCAAGATGGTGAGCTTTTACTATAGATTCCTGGGAGCAGCACTTCAGCTGGCTGCCTAGCCAGAAACTTAAGGAGAACCCTGCCCACCTGTCCTCCCTGTTCTGCACTCACACAGCTCTCCATCTCCTTTCTCCATGTATTTGCATTGAATGGTCCCCATAGATGGAAAACACTTTCTCCTTACTTCCACTTCTGAGTCCCTGGTTTCCTTCAAGACTCACTCAAGCTCCACCTTCTTCATGAAGCCTTTTCTAGTCCCTTTCCATCCAGCTACAAGGGCACCTCCTCCTCAAACTACTTGGTATTCATTTTGTGTATATGCTATATATATTATATATGGAGGAGTTTGTCTCCTTTATTAGAATGAAAGTTCTTTGAGGGCAAGGAACTGTTCCAGTTTAGTCTTTGTGTCCCATCACTCAGTACAGTTTCTTTCATATAGTAAGCATTTAATAACTTTTGATTGATGGATTGACATGACTACAAACAAATTAACCTAATCTCTCATATTTGCAGTCATCCAGTTGCTATGGTCACTCAGCTCTCAGAAATAATCACATTCAGCTCTCTATGTTGCCATAGGAACTTTGGAAGAATCAGACACAGAGCTGCCTGTGTAGCTAAACTGGAATATGGCTTAAATTCTTTAAGAGAGTTTCATATGCATGTGTAAGCTTTTTAAATAGCAACAATTCCATTCAGAAAGAATTTTTGACTAAACTTCCCACATTGGACCTGATTTGTGATTGGTAGTTTCATTCATATTTAATATTTTATTCTGAGATATATATTATTCTGAGATATATATGTATGTGTGTATACATATATGTAAAAGCAGTTGAATGACAGTAGAGGATTTCACTAACCATGACCCTCTTCAGCTTAAAAAATTTTTTTTCAGGGGCTTCACATTACCTACAGGACAAAGCTTGAACTCTTCTGATCTGGCATTCAAAGCCTTCCACATTTTGCCCCCAACTTTTTATCTCCCACTCTTTCCTAATACAAACTCCATTCTAGCCAGGCTACTCTGATGATGATTTTCCCTAAAGAAGATAAATTCATTCCCACCTTGTTACCTTTGCTTTCCTTCCATGTAAAGTGTTCTTTACTCTTTTCTCTACCCCACTTGGAATTAATTCTTTCTGCCTTCTAACTAGTCCCTTTCATCCTATAAGCCCCTGCTCAAATCTTCCATTCTTGTCCAACGCGAGTTCCCTGAGAGCACAAATTGCCTTGCTTTTCTGTTTGTATCCCCAGCGCTTGGCACAATGCTTTGCTCATGATACTTGATAAATGTTTTTTTTTTCAATCATTCATTCATTCTTTCCATCCTTTAAGAAACCTCCTTTGACTGGAGTGATCTCTCCCTTCTATATTACAGCACTAATCATATCACACAGTATAGGCTTTATTCTGTAATGTCATTATTGTTTTCTGTTTGTGTTAGACATATCACCATAACTAAATTATGAGCATTTTGTGAGCAAGGACCTATCAAGCTTCTTTGTATTTCCCAAAGCATTTAGCACAGTATTTGGTACATCTTGGGCAATACTCTAATTATTTAATTGATTCAAATCCTCTCTGTCTTTCAAGACCTAACTCAATTCCTATTTCATCCTCCTCCATTCCTGCCCACTGTAACCTTTCTCTTTTCTGAAGCTCTATGGTACTTATTATCTACACTATTTTTGCACTTAATGTTAGTGGAATATAACTTTGCATTTTTTATTTTGTTATTTAACTGTTGCAAAGTTCTTGAATACAGTGGCTATGTCTTCTAATTGTCTTAAACTCTTAACAACACTGACAGCTCCTTGAGGGAAGATACTATTTTTATCTTTCTTTATATCCCCAGCACTTAGCACAGTGCCTAGCGCATATCAGCTGCTTAGTATATGTTTATTGATTTGCTGATAATCCAACATATAGCAGGTGCTCAAAAATGCCCATTGAATCTAATTGTATTTTGTTTTGTTTTGTTTTTTTTGCTAGGAAATGGGGTTAAGTGACTTGCCCAGGGTCACACAGCTATTAAGTGTCAAGTGTCTGAGGCCAGATTTGAACTCAGGTCCTCCTGACTCCAGGGCCAGTGCACTGTCCACTGCACCACCTAGCTTCCCAAATCTAATTGTATTTTAACATGGGTATTTTGGATTGAAGGAGTAGTAGCATCCAAGTTGAATGTTATTAGGACCTACTAGACCTTTGGTTTTATGTTCCTAGGAGAAGTTCTTGTGTTCCTAGACAGCCACTGTGAGGTGAATAAAATGTGGCTACAGCCCTTATTGTTTGCGATCCAAAAAGACTACAGAATGGTGGTGTGCCCTCTAATTGATGCAATCAGTGCTTACACTCTCAAGTATATGTCATCTCCTATCCTCCGTGGAGGGTTCACCTGGAATCTGCACTTTAAATGGGAGCAAGTCCCTCCATCTAACTTACTAGGACCAGAAGGAGCTGCTGCACCAATAAAGTAAGATTTCTCTTAATAGATAGAAAACTAACTAGTGTGTATTTTATAGTAAAGAATGAACTATTTATTGGAGAGGCAATTCCTTCAGTTTCTTTTACTTAAAGAATAGAAAGCATTAGGATTTCCGATGGATTGTCCCTTCTGAAATTCTTGGTGTACGACTTTTCCAGAAACATTCAGTGGCCTAACAACATTTGACAGCCCCATGGAAGGCTTTAGTTCTCTGCACGTTTAACTCAAGATGAACATTATGCTCCAAAATATTCATGGTATTGGTGCCTCATCTAATTTCACATATGTGTGAGTAATTGTTAAAGCATCAATCGAGACAGAGAAAAGGACATTGAGTCCAACGCTATCATTTTATAGATGAGCAAATTGAGACACAGAGAGGATAAGTGATCTGCCCAGGGTTACATAACTAGCAGCTGAGGCAGGATTTGAACTCAGGTCTTCATGTGCAGTGTTCTCTCCACTATGTCACCTAGCTCTCTCTATTTTGGATCTTCTATTCAGGTGCATATGAACATATTAATCAAATTGATTATATGGCACTGTTGCTGTAATTCTGCACAAAAGGCACCTCCTGTCAAGGTCAAACAGAGACTTTTCCATCAAGGATTTATTGTCTAGAGTTTGTATTGGAGTTTATATAATTTTCCTAATTCTTGTCTTTGTAAATTGTTTCTAGTAATGTATGTGGACTTATATACACACACATGTATGTGTAAACATGTATATATATAAAACACAAAAAATTAATTTACTGTTAATTCTTTGCTTTAAATGATCTAAGTCTGAAGTTTGTGATTTCTCTGTTACTGAAAGCTTCTGATAGAAATAACTTCTCATGGATGCTATAAAAAGCAAAGCACTTTATAGCTAAAGCAATTGCTAGGGGGCAACCTTGTCTAAGTAACACCAAAGCTATATGTAGATTTAAATCAAATACCAGAGGAATGGGGTCAGAAATGTTTTCTTTTTTAAAAAAATAGTAAAAGTCAGAGATATTGCACAAGGGAAAGGCCATCTATGACTATATGGAATTGGTCAAAGAGCTTTCTGTCTTGCAAGAAAGAGATTTTGCATCTTTCTTCATAGGGATATGAGATGTCAGTCCCCTAAACTGCATCTTTTCTTCTCTCCCCATAAACTTTCCTCTTTCTGCAATCTGAGAGGAAGAAAGGAGCAAAGCTGTAATAATTCTAGGCTAGCCTCAAACCCAGAAAACCAAGTTTGTGCTAAGGAGGCTTTTGACAACTAGCTAAAACAGGATGAATTAGAAAGGATAATTCTAATCAAGAGCATTATATTAAGATGAGCTTTATAATAAACTGTAAAAGAAGAGGTTAAAAGAAAATTTAGGATAGCTGAGAAAGAAACTTAACTGTATTACATTTTATGCTCTACCCCCAACCCTTCCTGTTACTCTCTGAGAATGGGGAAGAAGGAAATTGAGGGGAGGGAGAGAATATTATAATGTAGAAGTGAAAGTAGAAGGGGAAGATTGAAATAGTAAGGAGGAAGGGAGGAGGGGAAGAGAAAACCATCTTCCCTAGTAATTAATAAAATATGAGCATTAACTCTTTAAATGGCAAGGTTGGTTTTTTGTTGTTGTTTTTGTCAATGTGTATAGCCTTCTTTGGGTAAGTATATAACACATTTTTAGAACTTTCTATGCTGTTTTAAGCATAACTTTTCTATAGAGATTATCTGATTCACAAAGGGGGTGAGAAGGAAGATTAATTAAAGACTATGTAGAAGTAAAAAAGCAATTTATTTTTATTATTGTTTTAAAAAGATAAACTCATCCAGTTTTAAAATCAAGATTGGGGAACACAAAAATATATGTGTCTGCATGTGTGTGTGTGTGAGTGTGTGTATTTCATGCAGTCAGTTTAAGGAATGATAGAAGGAAAACTAATTGACAGGGGTAGAGGAAAAATCTAAGAGGCAAAAGGTACAATGTAATGGATACTAGCATCTGGTGCAAAGACCGTTTAAGGCAGGAGCAGAAAATCCAGGCTTAGCAATGTTCAAAGTAGTAACTATGGTGCCAGGCAAAAACTAGATAGTCTAACAGACCTTGCTGAAATAGTACCAAGGATAGCTCCTTAAGAGTTGTGTCAGTAGAGGTTTCACATTCTGAAACAGTACCTGCAGAAGTGAAGTTAATTTTAATTAAAAGCTGAAGGATAATGTAAGAGCCACCATGAGTTACCTTTGTCATATCCTAAATTCTTTTATGTTGTAGGTTTCAAAGTGTTATCACCTCTTATAATTTCTATTAAAAATGCTCATTAGTTTATTATAATACTTCCCCCTATTCCCATTAAGCTTCAAAATTTGGCTCATTGGTTCATTGTGCTGCTTTACTGTTTCCACTGCATCTTCTTCTAACTTCAGTTAAGAATTAACTGTTTTAGCTAGTTGTCAAATGTCCCCTTAGCATAAGTGTGGCTCTCTGGGTTTGAGGCTAATTTAGAATCATTACTCCTTTTCTTCTCTCAGATAGCAGAAAGAAGAAAGGATATGGGGCAGAGAGAAAAGATGCAGCTTTACATGCCCAGTTTTACTACCCATGTTCTGCTACCTTAAACACTTTTCTTGAAAGGGCTTTACTATGACAGAAACACCCTATCTAATATCATTAATTGGTTCTGCAAAAACATATTTTAACAGAATTATAGGGGACATTCAATAAGGTAAATACCATAAATGCTGTTGATGTAATGATGTTAGTGGGTTTTGGTCATACCATATTAATGACATTGTAAAATGGTTTTGAGTAGGAAAATAATTATGCAGGTTATAGCTATATTGACAGCAGGCAAACAGGAAATTAGCATAATAAACAAAAGGCAAAGTTAAAAAGTTACAGGGAAATAGACTTTAACTCTTTTAATTTAAATTTTCTTTTTATTGAATTTCTTTTTTTCCAGATCTTGTCTATAGAGTTAGCCAGCTCACTTCTAAATTGGTTGTAAATCAAGCTTAGGTATTTTAGCCAAAATAGATTTGATTTGACAAGGATACTAGCTTTTTCAGACATGCTCAAATCTGCTTTCTAGTCTCAGTTCTGGATGTGTGACCCTTTGGCTTATTAAAAGTATTTCTAATCTGATTGGCTTTCCAAAACTTCTTCCTTTTGGCCTCATAACGTCTTTCATGAACATCATGCATTTCCTTGCATCCTAGTCTCTTATATTTTTCCTTCTCTTTGTTTCTCAACTTCTCTTTGAGAATTGCTTTTTTCTATAATTAATGCCTCCCCTAAGTTGCCCTCCCTCTTATTTCTTCATTTCTCTTAACCACTTTACCTCCTGTTTCCCTGTCCAGTGAAATGCTTTTCTGTGCACAACATGTGAGTGTATTTTCTCCTTTGACCAGCTCAGAGTGAGGTTCAAGTATTGCCTGCTCTTTACTTCCTCCTTATTTATATAGACTACTTGCATACTCCAATAATGTGAGATTATTTTCCCCATCCTTCCTCTTTCTCCCTACCCCAGTGCATTCCTCTTTCCCTCCCTTTCCATTCTTTTTTTTTAAGATCATCAAAACATAAAAGGTTTCCTGCCTAATTAGATTCTTCCCTCTGTGATCCTTGATGATAAAGATCCAACGGGGATACATGTATTATTTTCATATATTAGAGTATAAAAAATGTATCCTTGTTTAGTCTCTTATGATTGCTCACTTATGTTTACCTTTTATGTTTCTCTTATCCCCTATGTTTGTATTTCAATGTTTCTACATAGTTCTGGTCTTTTCATCAGGAATGTTTGGAAATCCTATTTCATTAAAAGTCCATTTCCACCTGTAAGATTATATTCAGTTTTACTGGGTAAGTAATTGTTAGCTGTAAGCTGAGATCTTTTGCCTTCTGGAACATAATTCAAGTCCTATATTTCATTATAATGCTGATACAAATTAGGTGTCTCACCATTAAATTGTACTCTTTAAGGCCAGGAATTGTCTTATCCCCAGTGATTAGTACAATATTCTAGTGTTGAGGTTAGAGTTGGGAGAGCTGGTTCAGGTGTGAAAGAATTCATTAGACCTCTGCAGCCATTGGTGGTGAGTTCAGGGTGGACCCCAAGAATGTTGGGGTGTTACCTTAGGTGTGAGGAATAGACATGCATGTCCTAGTATCCTGAAAGAATTTACTTGGACAGTCTCCAAGCTAAAGAAAGGCATATATTGGGGTGATGCAGCCAAGCAGGCAGAGCATAGACCACAGGCTCTCCTCCCCTAAGGGAGCAGAGTGGTCCCTGCTTCCTGGAGGAGGCAAAGGCAGTTAGCCAGGTTAGAGGTATGGTTCAAATAAAATTTTATGGAATAGGAGGAAGGGGACAAGAGAATGAAAGGAGAAAGCATGGCTCCAAAAATGCCTGGGATATCAAGTGGTCCAGAGGTGATAAGCAAAGAGAACAGGAAAGGGAGGGGGGAATTGTTCTGGAATTGAGGGTGCTTTGTGAAAGCACACAGACAAGTCCACAATGGGGACTCCAATGCATAGTCTTCTTTGATCACTTTTCTGGCTAGTCACATCCTGCATCTTGTCTCCTATCTCACATTCTGCTTGCTCCATCTGCCTCAAGCGCTCTTTTCTATCTCATTACTGGAATATAGTAGGCACTTAATGCATACTGATTGCCTGGCTTCTGTTGGTGGCTTCTAAATCTTGGATGATTCTGATTTGAGTCTCTGGTACTTGAATTCTTTATGGCTGCTTTCAGTAGTTTTTCTTTAACTTGAAAGCTCTGAATTTTGGCTATAATTCCTGGAAGTTTTCATTTTGGGATTTCTTTCAGGAGATGACTAATGGATTCTTTCTATTTCCATTTTGCCCTATTGTTCTAAGAGATATTGGCAGTTATCTTTTATGAGATCTTGAAATGTGATGTCTAGGCTTTTTTTCTGGTCTGAGCTCTAATCCAGAATTGAGTCTGAGCAACATGTCTGTGGATTTATTCCTGATTGGAAGTTCCCCTACTGCT